TATTCGGCCAAAGTCCTTCATTGCTAGTCAGCCAAACAGCCAAACACAGCTGTGCAAGGAATCCAAACAAGGCAGATTGGCACGAATTGGTCACCCTGCTCTGTCCTGCGGAAAACTCCAACATGTGTAAAGAAACCATATTCTGTAGTTCTTAGCATCTAAAATGGAAAAGTAATTCAACACCTCTGATGCAGCCGGTCCAAAACTTGCGATGCCATCTTGAATCCGGCATCAGCAGCCCGAATGTCAATTGCACTTTGTGATATATTCCAACTTTGAGACGTTCTTGTAAGAAGTTTGCGATGCCCTTTGCTCCTAGTAGCTTCTTGTTCCTAGTAGTAAGGCCAGGAACCCCTAGTAGCGTCCTTGCTCCTAGTATGTCAATGAATCACGTCATTGAGCAATGGTTATGCTGTATGCCGAGTTCTTGCTTTCCGTGGAAATCCCAAATTTTGCTTCACATTGCTTGCCCGCGGGGGCGGTCGGGCTGTCAACAGGATTCGACTAATATTTGCTGTTTCTTGTTCAATCTAACGTGGTTCTGATCAAATTTGTTTGTCCTGATCAAAATTATGCATTTTGTGAAATTGCAATTTGCTTTCAACATGTTGGACATGTGCTACATGCTGATGAACAGCTTGTGACTTTCATGCAACTTGCAAAATCATTGAGCAGGCTATGCAACTCCCCAAGCAGGATCCTTCAGTTCTGCGCTGTCCAGGTGTTTTGAATTTGACTGACCCTCGTTAATTTGGAAAAACTCCTCCAAGCGCTGCATCAGTTCATGCTATTTAGTTTCTTCACCTTACCGACACTCACGATTTTTCGCGCCAGTCATGATGAATCCAGGGTGTGCAAGACCGCAGAAAAAAAAACAAGCGAAACATATACATAGCTGCATGACTTCAAACATCACACTCTGCCTTAATGATTGCTTTCTGCCATCAATCCAAGACCAGCTTGTTTGGAACAAATATAGAAGCCTGCAAAACCCTGTCTTTCAAAAGGATCTCACCTGCTTTCGAGGCACTGTGACCATGTAACGATGTCGATGCTATCTCTCAACATAGTTTTACATGTTTTTACCTGCTGCCGCACCAGTGGTTCTCAGAAACAGGATAAAGGAAGTATCTATAACCATTCGACTCTATTTTTTGGACCCTTTGATAATTGGTGATGTCTTACTTGCATTTTGCAAACATGCGGATCTATTTTTTGACAGCCAATAAAAAATGAGTATGTGCAATAAACTATACGGTGTGCATGACCCAAACAACACTTAGAGATGCACGCACCATGAAGTTGATGAACAAACAAAAGGCGTATCTATAGTTACTCTGTTTTTGAACCCTCGAAAAAAGTCTAGTTATGTTTTATTTGCTATTTCCAAGCATTGGTTGATATATTTTTCGACCCCTTGAAATTGCACATCGTTCAGGTGATCCAAATTAATTAATCGAATTTGCACGCACTTTGAACAGTAAACGATACACTTGCAGCCAGCTGATGCATATGCTACCACAATAAATTATCCAACTGCAACCAGCATCAACCAGCTGATGCATATGACGCAATCATGGCAGATTTTTTTAGACATAAACTTGAACTGTTGAGAGGAGTCCTTTGGTTGCCTTTCATGGACGCAGCGATGCAAATGATACGACAATGAGAAACATAGGCACAGATGATAGGTCTGATAGGTGCAGGTGGAAATATATTAGTTTTCCATGCTTTCTCCAACTCTGCCAACTCCCAATCCTCTCCCGGACACACCTCACGATAAACATTAAAATGCGCCCCCCTAACAAGCGGAAAGGTCTTTCATCCTTTCTGCTTTGCCGTTAATCTCTGTCCACACGGGTTATACGTGTCCAAAAACATTGAGTGCGTGGAACCTGGAACGTGTTTCAGAAGAAGCCGGGCTGCTGCACCTTGGGCGATGATACGGACCATCGCCACAAAGACCTTCAAATGTCTTAAGTCCGGAACTCCAAAACCGGCGGTGCATTTTGAGAGCAGCAATTCCGTCCGCCGATGACCCCGGTGTCTGCAAGTGGTCTGGAGCACGCTAGAAAGAAACAACAGGATCAGGATCAGTGTCTAAACGCTGGCACCACGCAAGCACGACAACGACAACTTGGTGGCGTTAGACACAGCGGCCCAAACCAGCCATGTCAAGAAATCAGGACGTCTCGCTTACATCTCCTTTCTTGACGATGGGCCTGGGATAAGGGCACGCCTTGCGCTATGGTTTTTTCATGTTTTTTCCAATCTCCAGGTCCTGCAGCACGCGCGCACAATCTTTTCTTGCTGTTCTTAGAGCGTTTGAGGCGCGGTTTGTGCAAGGGTTGTGATCCTGTCAAGGTTTCTCTCGTCAGGGTATCTTTGGGTTTGACTCGCGGTTTTCGTTCCTGTATAGGGATTGTGTTGGCTTGGCTCAAGGTGTCATTTCTTTAGGGCTTCTGGCTTGGTTTAGGGTTTCACTTTTGTAGGTGTTCTTCTGGCCTAGATTTGTGGTTTACCTTCTTCGGGTTTAGGGGCCCACTTCTTCAGTGGGTTGGGTTTTGTATCCAGGGCAGGAGCATGGCAGCCGCGGCTGGAGCAGCACTTCGCGAACCTCGAAATGCAGATTTCTTGGCAGGCGCAGCGATTTGTGAACCTTGAAATGCAAATTTTGTGGCAGGGGCGGCATTTTGTGAACCTCGAAGTGCAGATTTCGTGGCAGGCGCGGCGCTGGGCGAACTCTAAGTGCAGAGGCGCGGCCGTTGTGAACCTCAAAGTGCAGATTGCGTGGCAAACGCGGCATTTCCGTGGATCTCCAGACCATTGAATGGAGCTCTTGGATCTCAAAAGCTCTGGACCTCATTAGCGGCCCCCCATGGCTGCTGCCCACCTTATTGAAGAAGGTCCAGCCAAAGCTGCTCCTGTAGCTTCTGGGCGGGCGGTGGTGCTTGAAGAAGTAGCTTCAAGACGCGTTGCATCACTCGTCTTCTTTTTCTCCTCGAGAAGGATGACAGCAGAAACACATGACACAAAAACAAAGGGAAACAAAGATAGAGGCCGCGAGACGGGCACTCGCCGACCGCGCGGCTTTCCGCGCTTTGGCGGCCACCGCTTTGGCGGCCGCCTCGGCCGCCGCTTTGGCCTTGGCGGCCTCAACCGCCTTGGCCGCAGCTGCTGCCAAGGCGGACGCTGCAGTCTTTTTCTGAGCCATTGTGTGGCTGCGTTACTGTGGTGCCTGGCAGTTTGCATTTGGCATTTTATCCACAAGGCGTTTGATGTAGAGTATTTAGTGGCTTCATGAGACGCAGCACCCTTTGCCCTCATGGGTGGTTGATATGGAAAGGCGAGCGCGACAAATGCGCCATGTCACAATCGCATCACACTGCGGCAAAAGAGTCTGTTACAACAGAGCTAGGAACCACCACAAACACACAATGTTGACTCAAATTCACGGACGCCAATTTCGAGCCATTCGTCGCACACTTCGATAACTGACGGCCGATGCTCGAAAGAGCTATTCCCCCACACCCCCTTGCGGGGGAATGACCGCGTATTTCAGCGGGGCAAGTTTCTCTTTGGGCAACTTTAACATTGGACGAATCGGTTAATTCTCTCTGCAGCGCGTTGTGAACCGCAGATTTCGTTGCAGGTGCGGCGGTGGGCGAACCGCCAAGTGCAGATTTCGTGGCAGGCGCAGAGATTGCGAACCTCAAGTGCAGATCGGCAGGCGCAGCGTTTCTGTGGAACTGAAGACCTTTTGAAAGAGCTCTTGACATCTTGAATCAAGAGTCTTCTGGACTTCTCTCTGCATCTCAAAGCCTTTCTGGATCTTTCATATCTTTCTGGACCCTACAAGTCTAGACGTCCTTCCAGGACCTGTCTACATCTCAAGCATTTTTCTAGACCTCTACACCTCTACATCTGTCTGGGTCTCCAGGCTCTTGGATCTTAAGCTTACCTGGAATGGACCCTTCCTCCCTATAATTCTATTCTCGGGTGGCTCACAAATTTGCTACGTTGGAATAGCACCTCCTTCTCCAAATTCTACCCTGGGGTTGCTCGCAAAACAAAGGCCTGCTACGTTGGAATGCCAAGTTCTTCCTCTGAATTTTATACCCGCAAGGCTAACAGAAGGTCTGCTACTGGGGATGGCTGCTTCCTCTTCAAAATTTGACCCGTAGAGGGCTCACAAACCGCTTGCTATATTGGAATGGCACCTTCCTCGTCTAGACTTTGCCGTCGGGTGGCTTACTCTGCTACGTTTGGTTATAAAACGTCGGCTACAGCGCTCCACAGGGTGTATGACCAGTAAATTTCCAAATCACCCTTAACACGTCTTGCAAAGGACCAACAGACCAGAGGATCAAGGGACGAGCAAGGGACCAGAGGACCAAGGAACCAGGACAAAGTGACCAAAGGACCAAGCGAACAGGGAACCAGCACGCCAGGGCTGTGGTTCGGGGTGGCATTTCTACCTGGCGAGGCCCAGCGGTGACCACAGTGATCGCGCACTGGCGATTGAGGTTCGGCGGTGCCTGCGATTGAGCGCTTGCGGTTGACGTCCGCCAGAGCCCACTGGGATCTTGCATTTGCAGTTGAGGTCAGGTGGAGGAGACGGAGGAGGAGGAGGAGGACATCTCTGATAAAATCTAACAACCCTCACCTGGCAGGTGGGGAGAAACACAAAAAATTGGACGCCCGCAGTCCCCCGCCCTCCAAAAGAAGTACCCAAGGGTTGTATAAATGTGCTTTCTCACCGACTTTTTTTAATGATACGGCGACCACCGAGATCTACACGTCACATCTTACGTCTCAAAATGTCTGCAACTCCGCACTTTAATGTCTAAATTTATCATGAATGAGTCCAGCCCTGTGAATTAGAGCTTCTGTGCCATCACACTGCTCATCCCTCCCAGTCAGAAACCACAAAACATAAAACAGTTTCACACTACAATAGTCATAATCTTAAAACACTGCAGCAAAAAGCAAGCTTGGCCTTTTTTCTCTAGGGTTCAAATAATGCAGCAGTGTCCAAGGCTTGGTCAGGATCCCACATCAAGTAAGTTCTGGTTACAGGAGGGCACCTGAAAATGCATTTCAAAAGAAATCGGCTTTGCTTTCATGTGAGGAAAAAGAATCTTTTCTAGCTCGTTGTTCTGAATGCTGACAAGGCACATCAGGAAAAATGTTGTTAAAACTCCTTTGGCCAAAGTAAATCTCAAACCGGCAGTGATGATGATTTTGCAGGAATGGTTCAATCTCTCCCATCCTGAGACACAAGAAATCTTGGAACCCAAGGGCCGCAAAGGGCAACATAAGCACGTCCAATTCAGCAAACCTAACAGCATTCTTTCTACTTGCCTTTAGTCTTTGCATTAGGCTGGAGGCCATCGCCATTAGCTTAGAGGCCATCGCTTCTAAGGTGGAGGCCATCGCTTCTAAGTACTTGACTCAGATTCATCTTTGCTAAGTTGCTCTTTTGCCGAACAGGTGCAGCACCCCATTCAGCTACCGTCGTCACCATTTGCATCGACGGTGATCGCATTGATCTCACATCGTACATTATTGAAAAGCCTGCACAACACACACACCAAAAAAGTAGGGCCTGCTTTCAAGACTTGAAAGCCCACGACTAAAGCCCATTGAACTTCATTGAACTCGGGGTCACAAAATTAACTTCTCACTTCAGTGATAATCTGCTAGGCATGTTGCGCAAGCAATTGACTTCAACGTGTCTGTTCACCTTGTTGCGCTTTGTCTGACAAGGTGAAGGCATCCATGAAGTCCATCATCTCGTTGAGACCTTCCATACTCAAGTCTCCTGCAGGGGGAAGTGTGTTTCAAATCAAGAAAAGGTGTTATTTTTCAACAGCTCGGAAAGCCTCAAAAGTGAAGATTGAAGATGAAACATACAACTCTTTGATTAAAACATCTTCAACTAGTAACAACGACGCTATTAGGGGTTTGTGGCCTTACTACTAGGAGCAAGAACGCTACTAGGGGCTCCTGGCATCACTACTAGGAGCATTCTTACTACTAGGAACAACTCTTTGATGAAAACATCTAGAAACCAAAGTGACCATGCTGCTTCATGCGAAGGGTTCTTAAAGGAATCTCCCCGAGCCCTTCTGCTTCGGCTACGACACTTTCTTCGCCCCCCACCCCTTCTTAGCCTAACCACCTCCTCGCACATAAAAGAAATAATGCTTGTCTGCTCTTTTGATTTTTTTTTAAAAGACCTTTAGATCTTGTCCGTTTCCTTCCTTCCTTTCTTGGGTCTTTTCATTTCTTTCCTTAGACCTTTGATGTCTATATATATCTATATATGAGTCTATGAGACATACTTTTCTGTTTCTTCCATTCTATGGCTTTTCTTCCCCTTCTTACCTGCACTTTCCACAAAGCAAGACAACCCTCTCCATCCAAACCCTTGATTTTCAAGTAGCCCTCGACTCCATCGAAGCCCTGACTCACCAATGCGAAGCCAACATTGATCTCGCTTGGAAGCGAATCGCCCCAATTTCGAGCTTTCCGGAGACCTTTTTGCTGGCAAGGCTTGACAGCAATGCTTCAGGCATTGTTTGGTTGGAGGCCTTCGCGAATAGGGGAGTCCATTGCTAGTAGGTTGGAGGGGGTGAGCGTCGGATCGGTCACCAGGATCGGTGACCAATGTGGTCGGATCGGTCGCCCCGGATCGGTGACCACAAAACACGGATCGGTGACCACAAAACACGGATCGGTGACCGGATCTGACGGATCGGTCGCTCGGTCGCCAGGATCGGTCACCGAAGGTATAGCAAAAACAAGTGAAACAAAGAAAGCCGATCATACCGGATCGGTCGCCAGGATCAATCACAAGAGAGGCCTAGGGAAGGAAGGCAACGGAAAAAAAAACAACCACACCGGATCGGTCGCCAGGATCGGTCACCGGAGAGGTCTCGGGAAGGTCAGGAAAACAAACCAAGCCAACCAGACCGGATCGGTCACCAGGATCGGTCACCAGAGAGGTCTAGGAAAGGCAAGGAAAACAAACCAACCTACCACACCGGATCGGTCGCCAGGATCGGTGACCAGAGAGGTCTAGGGAAGGCAAGTCAAGGAAAACAAACCAAACCAACCATACCGGATCGGTCGCCAGGATCCGTCACCAGATATATAGGTCTAGGGAAGGCAAGGAAAACAAACCAAGCCAAACACAGCGGATCGGTCACCAGGATCGGTCACCAGAGAGGTGTAGGAGAGGTGTAGCTACGGAAAAGAAAAAGAAACAAAACAACTGTGCCGGATCATACGGTGAGTCCAGACTTTTTTCCTCAAATTTCTTAAACTCAAGAAACGGGTTATTGGCGTGCAAGACCGAGGAAAAATACCAACCACACCGGATCGGTCGCCAGGATCGGTCGCCATCGAATTATATATCGTGGGAGACGGAGGAAAAAATACCAACCACACCGGATCGGTCGCCAGGATCGGTCACCACAGAGGTATTGTGTAAAACACAAATCTACTTAAACAATTTCTGCTGCTTAGTGGGAGTGCATAACAAATACCAGGCTTACTGGATCCTATACCGTCGCAGTAAAACATCGCTTGACAGTATACCTTAGTGTTGAACACCGCTCTGCTCGGACGCCTTTTCATTCCCCACCTACCTTCATGTGAAATTAAGAAAAGGTCCTCTGTTTAAACAAATCGTGTTTTATTTCCATGGTTTCGCAAGCATTGAACAGAACCACTTACCAAGGCCTTTCAATGCCTTGCTTGAATCACGCGTATGAGGCAGGTAGAGCAAGCCTTCAGCCTATCCCATATGTACCACTATAGGGCCCCATTTGGTTCCTCAACCTCTCGATCTTGAATCGCAATATTGAACCAATCCCAAAATTGCCGGAGCGAAAAGTCCTGCCGCTGGCTCTCCATTTAGGCCAGCTCAAATCCGAAGTTTGGCGGCAAAACGTTTGAAATGCCGAAGCTGTGAAGCTTTACTGGTGAGAAGATCCGCTGCGCTCAGAGATGCTCCACGCAACACTGAAGGCCTGCCCGTCCAGCGCAATCCCGAAGCGCCAGCGGCGCCGCGCTCACAAGTAGCGCACGGCCTGCCAAATGTTCTTTGGCACGTCTGCAATCACCACCTGTCGACATGTCGAGGCTGCACTCACTGCACGGTATGAACATTCCCTTAGAGACACTATTATGCAGGGTACATTATGCCTTAGCTGTCTTAGAGACACTAGGTGACATGGCGGCTGTCTCAACATAGTTCCTCGAATTTGGATCGTTTTAGGGGTGCAAGCCAAGCCACCTTCACCATGGACATGAAGGGTTGTCTGTTAGACTTCTTGAAATGGTCGTTGTAGCAATCCCACAAACCCCAACCCTAAAACCTAACCCTAAAAATCTAACCTTACAGCCTAGTAGTAGTAACAGTATAACAGTGGCACGAGTAATATTAGAAATGGTAGTCGTAGTAGTCGTAAAAACCCTTACCCTAAAACCTAGCCCTAAAAAACTTAACCTTACAACCTAGTAGTAGTTGTAGTACTAGTAGCAGCAGCAGTGGTAGTATCGTAGTAGTAATAGTAATGGAAGTAAAAGTATAATAGTGATACTAGTAATCA